CGCGTCCTTGAGCTCTGTGGGTGAGTGAAGGGGTCTGGTCTCACCGTAGCCCTTCTGCCTCCTAATTTTCCAAGAAAAGCTTACTTTCTTGCACTTGCTGGGAAGAAGTGTTCAGGATTTCAATCCAAAGTAAACCAAATTAGTTTCGTTTTTCTTTTCTTTTTCTTTACCCTAACTTAGTCAGAGTTGCATGCTCTTGGCACGTGTGCTTTTGCATGGCTTTTAAAAGTGACCATCTGTTCTGTCACATCCTATTGGGGTTCATCTAATTTTTATAGATGGGATTGAAGACAGTTTTTTGCGGAAAGAGGGCAATAATAGCTCCGAAATCTAGATTCAGTGCAAAAACCTGGTAATTGTTTTGAGTTGCAAACCGAAAAGAGAGTAATGTTCGCTTTTGAAGGGGCCCCTCTCCCCCCCCCCCCCCAATACAGAGTAGGAAAGTTGGTCTGAGATTCTGATCTTGAAGCTCAGGGAAGGGAAATAGAGCTGGGGAGATAAATGGGGTGCAGTCAGTGATTGCTTCGCTAACTAAAATCAGTGTGCAGAAGTAAAGGGGAACTTATGTTTAACTTCTTTTTCCAAGTACTAATTGCATAAATGGTATAACTGCCGATATGTAGCGTAAACTGACAGTTCTAAACGATTAATAGTTTCATTAGAAATTACTGCTTGGATGGGATTTTTTAGGTTAATCTTTTTTTCCAAGTACTAATTGCATAAATGGTATAACTGCCGATATGTAGCGTAAACTGACAGTTCTAAACGATTAATAGTTTCATTAGAAATTACTGCTTGGATGGGTTTTTTTACAGTGGTTAATCTTAATTAATTGGAGGAAAAAAAAAAGCCCTGCGTGACTAAAGATCTTGATAGAAACAGCTTTTTAAAAACAAAACATCGAATCAGTGGATTGATAAAAGACAAACTAATATTAATTGTGACACCAGGATATTAACACTGGAAATGTGGTCACTGAAAGTCATCCTACTGATAACAAAAATGGTTCCTGTAATAAATAATCTCTTTTGGTATTTCAAAAGCATCTCAAGGAATTTATTTGGCATCTTCCTCCTGCATTTTCTCTTCTACTGTACCTGTTTCATTGAAACTTGGCAGGGGAAGACTAAATGCTGAACATTTTGTAGTTTTGAAGTCTCTGTGGTTAAATTTGGTACCTGTGATGTATAGAAAACTGGCTCTGAAGAAGGTGGTAATGTGGCTCAAGTTCAGAAGACCTTAAAGATGACTCCTGTTCTTCTTAAAAGTGATTGAAATTTCATACGTATTTTTAATTTGCCCCAATTTCTAGTTATTCGGTATCAACATTAGTATCAAGTTTCTTTGTAATCAATGGTAAAATATTAATTTGGGAACATGCATCTCTTAATTTTGATTCATGTATTGAGGGCTTTTACTTTATATGAGTAAAGCATAATGATAGACCAAGCGCCTCCTGCTCAAAACTGTACGAGCTCTAGGTTGTAAAACATCCAGAGGTGGGCAGAGAAGCGACCAGGTAGGAAAGATTGATGGCAGGCAAAAATAAAGTTGCATCTAACAATTAATCCCTCTCCCCCACGCACGCACCCAAGAGAGTTATTAAGGTAGTCTCAGAAGTGAGGAAACACTCGTTTTATGGTTGCCCCTGCGCTGAATGAGGCAAGGGTTGTGCGATGATACCTACCATGTAATTAGAGAGGGTGCCATCGCTGTGCGTGCACAAGGGGGCAGAGCTAAGGTTGCAGGGTGGCTGCACACCCCACGTTTCCTCACATCCCTGTACTTGGTTTCACAATCCGAGTGACTCTCGTACAGGTTTTGAACCTATTTTCTTCGCCACCGGGGAAACTGAGCCCTGCCTGGTGCAAGGGTAGCACAGCACCCCTGCCCTCCACAACACGTGTCGTCGCTGGCGCTTCAGCCTCTTGGCTCGAGCCGTGCCCTGGAAATGGGAGTCATGGGTTTGTGTTCGGAGAGCGAGAGGGGTCTGAGAGGTGTGAGGAGGCAGCACAGCCCGCCCCGGGGAGAGCGGGGATGAGATGCTAGGGCCAGGAAACCTGGGCCCTCCTCCTCCTCTTTTGGCAACTAACAGGACCCTGTCTGCAGGGTTGCTCAACTCTTAAAAGCCTCGGCCCCAGTACTGGCTGGTGGTGTTGGCCAGCTGCACAAAGGAGGCAAGGCAGCTTCTCCGAAGGTGCACTCTGTTTCAATGTGGGTGGGAATTCAAGGGAGAAAGGAAAAGGCACGTTTGTAGCCTGAAGGCTTCTGCTTGCGGAAGGGTTTTCAGCAAACCAAAGTGGCACTAGCTTTTTATAATGGAAAGTTTGGCAAGCTAAAAGAGAGCATTTCCATCAGCTGCCCTTGTAACAAGCTGCGGCACTTCTGAAGGGCCATGAGGTGCTTCGTTCCCAGTGGATTTCATTCTGCAAGGTGCTGGTGTCTTCAGTTTGGCTCAGTTGAAGCTGCTCTGGTTTTTGCCAAGCCTAGGCTACGAACACTTTATTTCACTGAAAGAGGAGAAAAGTATCTCTTAGCGAAAAATGAGAGGTGTGGGGTTTTGGTGGTGTGGTGTTTTTTGAGTTTTTTTTTCATAGTGCCAGTTATGCTGTATAACACTTGAGGAGAGCCAGGGATGATTAGCAGTTTATATTCGAGCTATTATGACAGCTGAAGCGTGGTTTACAGCATTATGATAAAGGCTGTGTTATGCTGGCATATACTTAACTGTGGCAATGCTACTCTGTGCCACTATGGGTAAGTGCCAGATCCATCTCAAAATGATGGCAAAGCTGTAACATACATAAGAGTGAAGGGTGGGGTGAGTCTGTAACACTCCCTTCTCTAAAATAACTTGTATTTTATCAGTCTGTGATGAACTTTTTATGATCCAAGGTGTGTCATACTAATTTTAAATATTAAAGACACATCAATTCTTTTACTACAGTGCCTTCCTCCTTGCTTTCAGGACCTGCCACGTAACTGCAAATGAAACTGTACGATTTAATGAGATACTGGGAACCTCTATACTTCCTTGAGACACCGTGTCATAGGTTGGAATGGAGGGATCTAAAAGCAATAATAATACATACTGATACGACATATCTTGTCAATGCACAGTCTGACGCTGTGGCAGGGTTACATCATTATACATTACACCACTTTGTCTTTCAAAATCATCAGTTTTTGTGGGATTGCATATCTTGGTGCTGTTGATATGCACATCCTTGGAATTAGGCAGCATTACCATGTTGAATCAATAGTTTATCCTGGCAACTTGAAAGGCACTGAATGAATCACAGTAGAGGCCATGCTAGTAGTCAGAACATTGCCCCCCTCACGAGAAGAAGGGAAAAAAAAAAAAAGTCTACACCCAGAAGTAAATCTTCAGAACAAATCCAATAAAATGCTTGCCCTGCATCTCATTCTGCTTCTAAACCAAGAGCTGTGTTTAAATAAATATATTTAGTCTTGGTAAACCTATCTTTGGTTTTTCATTCAAGATATGCGGAAAGCGCTGCAAAATACCAGCTGTAGTTCAGGGGGAAAATGTCTTTTCTTGGGAATGTTCATCAACAGCAGGAAGCACACCAGTTTTTTGGGACAGTCCCTTGCAGCAATATGAAAAAATGTGATTGTTTCTTCCTCCCCCAACCAGCCAGTCTTAGCACCCGGGGATTTCTGGGCTTGGGCGCAGGTGCAGCTCCTGACAAGCAGAGAAGGAGCAATGCCATTGCTTTCAGGCTGGCTGCAGGGATGCTCCTGATGTTTCTCTCCTGCTGTCTTCCCTTGCATTTTTGTGGAGGAGGTTGCATCCGTGTTCAATTGATGGCTTTCTTCTCCTTCACGATCCTGGCCAGGCCCCTGGCAGAGGGCTTGTTGCTGTCACGGTGGCTCAGCTGGTGGTGTAGAAGAAATGGAGAAGCGTCAGCATGCAGTTGTGCTGTGCTGTGGCTTGGCTTTTTGGTGTAGTGAAATCAGCTCCGGTGGGTGCCAGCTGCTGGCACTGGGTGCAGAGATGCTGCAGGCCTCAAGTTGTACTTGCATGTGACCGTTTGCACAAGAAGCATTTTCCTGTGCAGATATTTAGGTTCAGGTTGCCAAGTCTTCCCTTATTGCCACTCTCATCTCTATAAGAGTGTCACCCGCTCCCGACTTCTGTAGCCTTTTGAAGAAAATACAGCAAAATTATTTTCCAGCTGATGTGGATAATAACATTTATTAGTGCTTCCCTGTCTGCTTTTCCTGTAATTATAATGCACTGTTATTCCAGGAACCACGATTGTGAACTAGTGGTTCAGGAGATGGCTTTGATTTCAGAAAGAAAAGGACAGGAAAGGTGTCAGACACGTATTGTTGATCTGCATGTAGGTTCAAACTCCTTTTCCTTTTATTTCAGTCAGAAAACATCTTTACATTTCAGAGGAGCAGATTAATGGCATAATTTGCATCACAGATTTTTTTATTATGGTTTTTTTAAAGTAAATGCTGGAACAGTTAGATTGAGCTAACAAAACTTCTTTCAAAATAAACAATTAAACCTTTGCTCCTTCAGTATCAGATTTCAACTGAAATAAATGATAACAGTGAAGTTCAGTAACCCTTAGGCAAGAGGATGTTGGTCTAGCCCTAACTATAACTTAAGAGGCAGGAAAATGCTATAGTAGATGACTGGTTTGTGTGATAGTAATGTATCAGCTCTGTGGTGGTGGTTACGTTTTCTCTACCCAGAATTACGTTATTCCAGAAACAAGATTTACTCAGGTCTTCTAGCTCAGTTTCACAGCAGAATGTGATATATTAAAAGCCTTTTTAATTTTTGATATTCCGATGGCCTTCTTGTAGGTCACACTTCCTGCAAATCTCATCTTTAAATTTGCAAATGTAATTAGTAAGGTAGGTTTCTTGATACGTTCGCAGAAACGCTGATTTCACGTAGTTAAGTGTGGTCAAACTTGTGCTTTCTCATTGTATCTTTATCTTACTGCCTTTATCAGGTACTCATTAATGAGTGAAGGATCAAAAGGTGGGACGGTGGCCAAGAAGCAATGGAGAATAAAAGTTTAGAAGGTTCCCCATCAGACCTAAAGTTAGTGGCTCACCCGAGAGCAAAGAGTAAAGTGTGGAAGTACTTTGGGTTTGATACCAATGCAGAAGGATGCATATTACAGTGGAAGAAGATCTACTGCCGTATTTGCATGGCACAGATCGCCTATTCAGGAAACACGTCCAACCTTTCCTACCACCTTGAGAAAAATCACCCTGACGAATTCTGCGAATTTGTGAAAAGTAACACTGAGCAAATGAGGGAAGCCTTTGCCACTGCGTTTTCAAAAATTAAGCCGGAGTCGTCGCAGCAGGTTGTTCAAGATAGCCTCATCATGAAGACCTACCAGAACTACGAAAACAAAAAGCATCAGGAACTGACATCTGCAGTCATCAGCTTGATTTGCGAGGGCATGTATCCGGCCTCTATCGTTGATGAACCCACCTTCAAGGCCCTCTTGAGAACAGCGGACCCCAGGTATGAACTTCCGAGCCGGAAGTACTTCTGTACAAAAGCTATTCCTGAAAAGTACAACGCCATTAGAGAAATTGTGCTGAAAGAGCTCACCGAGGTTCTGTGGTGTGGCATATCCACGGACATGTGGAGGAGCGAAAACCAGAACAGGTCGTACGTAACCGTCGCGGTTCACTTTCTCAGCAGCAGTCCTGCCAACTGCCTGGCGGTGAACTCGCGGTGTTTAAAAACGTTTGAAGTACCAGAGGATAATACTGCAGAGACTATTACGCGAGTCCTTTATGAAACGTTCATTGAGTGGGGGATCAATACAAAAGTCTTTGGTGCTACAACAGATTACAGTAAAGACATTGTGAAAGCTTGCTCTCTCCTAGATATTCCCGTACAGATGCCTTGTTTGGGGCACACTTTTAATGCAGGAATACAACAAGCTTTTCAGCTCCCCAAGCTCTGCAGCCTTCTTGCCAGGTGCCGAAAACTGGTGGAGTATTTTCAGCAGTCCACGGTCGCGATGTACATGCTGAGCGAGAAGCAGAAGCAGCAGAACATTCTCCACTGCATGCTGGTAAGCGACCGCGTTTCCTGGTGGGGAAGCACGCTCGCTATGCTGCAGCGCCTCAAGGAGCAGCAGTTTGTCATTGCGCAGGAGGACAGCAACAACCACCACCTCATGCTGGAAGCCAGTGAGTGGAATACAATCGAAGGGCTGGTGGAGCTGCTGCAGCCTTTCAAGCAGGTTGCAGAGATGATGTCTGCTTCAAAGTACCCGACGATCAGTATGGTGAAGCCACTTCTCCACATGCTTCTGAATACTACCCTGAACATCAAAGAGAACGATTTGAAAGAAATCAGCATGGCAAAGGAGGTGATCGCTAAAGAGTTGTCAACCACCTACCAGCACACGCCTGAGATAGACATGTTTCTCAATGTTGCAACTTTCTTGGATCCCCGCTACAAAAAACTGCCTTTTCTTTCAGCTTTTGAGCGGCAGCAGGTTGAAAACAGAGTGGTGGAAGAAGCAAAAAGCCTGCTGGAGAAAGTAAAAGAAAATACCTTTAGGACTGAAGAGAAATTCTTCACCGTTTCAGAAGAGCCCCCTGTGAAAAAAATCATCATCTCCTCTACTCCTCCTCCTACCAGTGTCATCAACAACATGCTCGCAGAGATCTTCTGCCAGACGGGAGGAGTGGAAGACCAGGAGGAATGGCACGCTCAGATTGTTGAGGAGCTGAGCAACTTCAAGTCACAAAAGGTCCTCGGTTTGAACGAAGACCCGCTGAAGTGGTGGTCTGACAGACTAGCGCTGTTTCCAGTTTTACCAAAGGTTCTTCAAAAATACTGGTGTATTTTGGCCACGAGGGTCTTCCCCGAACGCCTTTTCGGTTCTTCTGCGAATGTTGTAAGTGCGAAGAGAAACCGGTTAGCTCCGGCTCATGTGGATGAGCAGATCTTTTTGTACGAAAACAGTCGGAATGGGTCCGAGGCAGAACCGGAGGATGAAGATGAAGGAGAGTGGGGTTTGGAACAGGAACAGATTTTTAATTTAAATGACTCGGTAAATGTAAACAACAATTTCTTTAATATCCGAGACAGTGGGTTTGTTTAACAGGACTGCTGCGGTACATTTAATAACAAAGAAAAAAGGTATTTGTCTTAAGTTACCAAAAATACTTATGTTTTATGCTATGAATGCTGTAAATATTGAACAGTTGTAACAAACTTGATTTAGCTTCCATTGTCTATGTTTTTCCCACTGTCTTAAAACATGAATGACTTGTGATTAAACAGCACTGAAATGAATGAGGAAATAAATTCTACAAAGACCGTGATTTCTGACTGTGGCCCAGATTTCAGAAAGCACTTAGCCATGTGCTTCCTTTCCACTTGCTTCAGTGGGAGACAAACACATGCTTATGTGCTTTCAATCATAAAAATATTTTCCTGAATTAGGACCCTGAGCAAGGGCGTTTTTAAGATTTATGCCTCTGTTTATAAATCCTGTGTGACTCAGGATGTTAGCTTTAAATTTTGGATTTTAAAACATTATTTTTAAAATCCATAAATCTGAGCAGTGAATATTTTTAGAGTATATCGATGCTATGGAATGAAAAAAGATCTTGAGCCTGATTTTCTTTTTCACTACCTCATGTCTTAGGCCTGGTCTCTGCTAGAAAAGTTGGTATAATTCTGTCAGTTAGGGGACTGATGTATTATTATTTTAACTGGTACTGTGCTGGCGTAGGCTGTAGTGTGGATGCACTTATACTGGGATAAGTTATTTTCCTTTCCAGTGCAGTGTAAATGGTATAAACACTTCTAAACTGGTATTGCTGTGTCCACATTAGTCCGGTTTTACCATTTAACTGCGGCAGCTAAGGAAGGAAGGCATCAGGCCCCTCGGCGGGGGGGGGGGGGGGGGGGGGGGGGGAGGGGGGGGGGGAGGGAGGGAGGGAGGGAAGGAGAGGGCGAGACATGTATGGAGGGAGGGAGGGAGGGAGGGAAGGAGAGGGCGGGGAGACATGTATGGGCCGTGGGTCTGTGTTATTTCTATGTTATAAAATCCTTAACCTCTTAATTTAAATGGGGACTTTGCCCAGGGTAGCTAGAAAATTTTGCTGGCGAGAAAAGCAAAATAAAAAGCTTTAATATTATGTAAATATATTTAAAAGAAGGGGACCCCTCCATTTCCCCACATGTATTTAGTGAGTCTTTAAGATTGTTTCTTACTACGTTAGCACTTAAAACCTCTTTTTTTTCCTCCTCTTTCTGATTCGGTTTGTAGAGTGGACTTTAGTCCTGTCCAGTCTGATGTTTGAGTACTGTTTCCGATTAGTTGTTGTGTATTGTAATTGCTCCCTTTGTGTCTCTATGCCTAAGTGTTTTAAGCCCTTTTGAGAACTTGGCAAACAAGAAACAAAGAAAGAAAACCAACACAAAACCCCCCCATTTCTTATGAAATACTGCAGGTCATAAACAAGATTAGAGTTGACGCTTGGCACGGAGTGGGATGGCAGCCAGCGTTTTTCCCTGAGGTGTGGAGGAGGACTCTTGGCACGGTCCAGTTACAGTCAAGGTTTGCCTGGGGTTTTATTTGTTACTGGTGTCTCGCCCCTCACCCTGGCTTTAGTGTACGACTTTGTTGAGCACAACCTTTCTGGAGAGAGGTCTGTCGAAGACTGGCCGTTACTGTGCTGGAGGAAGAAAGTTGGGTTTTTTCATCACAGTGGTACCTATGGACATTTGGTTGTAGAAAGGGCCCAGCCAGAAGGAACATACAGAAAGGAGAATCGCATTGGAATTGAATCTATTGCCAGACTGCTTGTTTATGTTTTGGTTTAATAGTTTTTTGCAAGTTTGAGGCCTCTGTGTTCTTTGTAGGTGGCGGAAAGGGGTGGGTGGGTGGGGAGGAAGGACAGAGGTTAGAGTAAAGGAGCAGTGGAGTAAATAGTAGTGAACTACCTGGCACGTTTAAGCCTGGGGAAAAATGCATTTAACAGGTGGCGTGGCCCATGTTTGGCTGTCAGTAAGCCTGGGTTTTCATTCTCCAGCCGCCTGAATATTAATTTGCACTTGTACAAAGTATACGCACAGTGCATCCTGTTGAATGTTGCTACTCTCCACGTCTGCTGAAGAGATGTATGTGATTGCCCAAGGTGCAAAACAGAGGCTTGGCCTAAATGCCCGCAGATACGTAGGCCATCTGTGAGGGTAGCAAAATCAAATTATGGAAGGGAGTGAAATACAGCAGGTTCCTGTTTGATGTTACCTGAGCTCCTGTGACACCCCTGTCAGGAAGACCTCTTGGGTTTTAAGTCCATTGAGTGCCAGCTGGTGTCGGTTGCGTCCGCTTGCACCACCTCTCCCTGCTGCCACCACCGCTAGCCCTCGAGGAGCTGCACAAATGCTAGTGCAAGGCGTGCGGATCCTCTCTTACACGAGCATAATGCAAAGCCATGCCCTCACAACCAAGGCAGAGCCCAGGGCACCGCTCCTGCCATCCGTGTGGAGCCTACCCCTCTTGGCAGCATCCATCTCCTGTTTCCGTCTTCGTCCTTCTAGGGCTAAACGTACGCGGTGACGCTTACAAGCAGTTTTACTGAGATCGGTGCAATGCACTACCCTCTTCCTTCCAGCTTCTTTTTATTTTTTGGTATCCAAAATAAAACTGTAGTCGGTTCAATTGATGTGTCTCAGCATTCTTTAAAAAAAAAAGGAGAAGAGAAAGAAAAAAAAAAAAAGAACAAAGCCATTGTTAGTCCTGCCCATTGTCTGTGAGATTTTTATTTAATGTTCTAAGCCTGGAATATTGTTAAATAAACCAGAAAAATAAGTTAGTTACTAGATTATTTGTCTGATGTGTGTTGATATCTGCAGCACTTTATGACTTTGAACTCTTCCGCAACAAGGGGAGGTTATATTCTAAGGTTTTGAAGCTATGCATTTATTTTCCTTTTGATCCTGTAAGTTATTTAAAAAAAAAGCTGTACAAATCTTTTGGATTAAAAAAAAAATGAAGATGAAAAATGTCAGAAGTTTAGATGGTTTCTCTCACTTAAATACGTGTGGTGTTTTTCATTTAACGACATAATTTTCTGTTGTTTAGTTGGGTGGAGAACCAAAGTTGCAGAGCTGTTTTAAATATTGCTACAACGTGAAATAAACTGTGGTGTTATTGCCAAGGGTGGGCCCAGAACACATTTCCAAATTACGCTGTTAAGTCAGATTTATGTTCGTGTTTCTTGACAGCTAATTTGAATCCACAGCCTAATGTTTCCTTTTCTCTTCGGTACAGCTGAGACATCTTTTTGGAGGGGCAGTAGAGGAACTTCGGCTTTTGAGTGCTTTCATGCTGGAAAAGTGAATTTTTAAACAGGCTCTCAAAGTACCTACTTTATGTCAAAAGAAGAAGAATTGCCTTTTGCCACCAGCTAAGTATTTCCAATTCAGGATTAAAATTCGGTGGGCTAGGCAAGGTTTCTTAGGGTTAACATCGTAACTAAAGGGAGTTTTGTGTGACTGACCAACCTTTGCAAGCATTTCGCCTCTCTCTGCCGTCAGGGATTACTGTGAAGACAAAAGGAAAACCCCGAACCAAACTGAAGTTGAAAAGGTGATTTTTTCCAGCAAACCATGTCTGAGATGCCTCGGTTTAAATGAAGGGAATAAAGTTCTGGATTATTTGTGGAAAGGGCATATTATTTTAAGTTCCTATCGCAGCAGTGTATTAGATTCATTTGGAGGGTTTTCTTTAATTAATGTCACGGTGGTCCAATTAGCTCTACAGGAGCATTTGTATGCAGGCAGGAATATTAAAAGCAAAAGAAACACTAATTGGTTATTTGTAATATTTTATAGGACTTCTGAAAACTTGAAAGTGACATGTAGTTCATGATTTTGTCCTTTTCGCATGATGGCTTAAAAAGAAGGGGCTGCCTGAGGACGTCGTTTCTGAAGGAGGGGAAGCGTATGGATTTGAACACAGAAGTAGTGTATTTTACATATTCTATGACAACTGGGTAAAGGAAACTATACTGGAAAAATTGCATTTTAGTCTCTGCACACCATACTCCTTTCGGTGGTCTCCGTTTCTGAGTGTCCTTCTCAGAGGATGATGTCTTTCTGAAGCTCTGGTGATCCCGCTTCTGGTGGTGCAGTGCTCTCCAGTCTAGGCTGTCTTTTTGGCTATGCTGAGAAGACTCCCTTGCTTTGGCTCCTGGTCTGTTACGTTTTGTGGCTTTCTTTTTTTTGTTTCTCCGCCCTTGCCCCCCCAGGCCAAGACTATATGGCCTGTCTCACCGTATTTCCTCCAAATTACTAGTCTTCTGCTAAATTAAAGATGTGTTTTATTTTTAGGGGGTGTAGGGAAATTACAGAAATTGTTTTTGCCTTTTTAATAACATTATTTGGTGCTTTAGAGAGAACTTAAAGATACAGTGTAATTTCACGTCTGCCTTAAAAGCACACCAATAAAGCATGTCTAATGACTTGATATTATTTAAACTGGAATCCCTACAGTTGCTGTATAATGCTGTCACTTTTACATACAAAAGCATTTCCTTTAGGTTGAACAATAAAAATCAATTCAATAGATTTTTACTGCTTCTACAGTCATTTTCAGTGCCCCTGCAGTTGGGTTAAAATGCCACAAGGGAACTGAGTTTACTATAAAAAAAACCCCAGAATACTGTCTTTCAGCTGACCTTGTGTTTTAAAAACTTTTTTAGTGATAAAATTTGATATCTTTTTAAAAATGAAAAGGCTGTTGCAGAAACTGTTTTCAAATGACAGTCCCTCGGACTCTGAAATGTTAATATTACAATTTTTGAGCATTTATATTGACATTTCCACGCAGGGTGGTATTGATTTCCCTTGCTGCCAGAAGAAAAGGTCAGCGTTCACAGAAGTGATGCTGCCATCTGCAATGCTTTGAAGTGGTGATCAGATGTATCTTTTTTCAGAGATGTTGAAAAGACTATTACCTGCTGCACACGTGTGCTGGTTTCCATACATTACAATTAGTACTTATTTTCAGTGACTTTAATGTGCAAAATCCTACTTTGTCTGTCTTGCACTCCTCTGTCCTGTCTCCTCTCCCTGGCTCTGCCTGGGCAGAGCGCCAGGTGGGAGCAGCAGGGAGGAGACGACCTGCTCCCCAGTGTGTTTTTCTTCTCTTAGAGACAGACTGTTCATTGAGAGCAGGTTAACTCGGTTTAAAATGAGTTTAAACTAGGTCCTTATTCCAGTCCGCTGGGGCTACAGCGCCTGTGCCATGCTGCAAAAAGGCAGGGCCAGTGATTCCTCCCCCTACAATGATGTACACTTGAACACATTGCTCA